GTTGTTTTGTAAGCAGGAGGAGGGGACAGGGGGATAGCATGGAAGTACATCTAAGTTTAGGAAGCAATTCAGATTCCGACATTTCTACTGCGACTTTGAATAAAGAAATAGAAGAGAATGGTGTTTTGTCAGACACACACAGAGATGCCGTCACTGAGTTGTAAGAAACTCGTTTATCTGTGTAAACCGTAATAAGATGGATAGGGCTCCCCCTCCAATAACCATTCCCTTTATATCGCAGCTTCAAATTGCTTACGACACTCAGACAGCTGTAAAGCCAAAGCCTTGCAGATAATGGACATTGTGTAATTGTATAAACTCTTTCTATCAAATAAACTGACCAGTATAACTAACAAGAGGCCCATGGGCCACATCGCTCACCTGAGCACATTGGCTAGACTAAGGCACAAATCAGTTCAGTAATGAACGGGGGGGGGGGGGGGGGGAGGGGGGCTTGAATTTTAAACTACCTGATGATGCTTCCATGTCAATAAAATGAATTTGTTGTCCTTGAGAAGATTTTAAAAGAATTTTCCCATTTCTTTCTTTGTAAAACTTTGATCCCCCATTGTATCTCCTCCCTATCTCTGGGGTCAACATTTGAACAAACTTGAATCTACATTACCTGAGGATGCTTCCAGATCAATAAGACTAACATAGCTTTTCTGTTCTTGAGAAGAAATTTTTATTCTATATGTTCTTATGTAAAACTTTCGATCCCCCATTGGGCCCCACCCTACCCTGGGGGTCATGATTTGAACAAACTTGAATCTACACTACCTGAGGATGCTTCCATATAAATATGACTCTTCATGGCCTTACTGTTCTTGAAAAGAAGATTTTTAAAGATTTTTCCTATATATTCCTATGTAAAACTTTGATCCTCCATTGTGGCCCCACCCTACCCCCGGGGGTCATGATTTGAACAAACTTGAATCTACACTTCCTGAGGATGCTTCCATATAAATATGACTCTTCATGGCCTTACTGTTCTTGAGAAGAAGATTTTTAAAGATTTTTCCTATATATTCCTATGTAAAACTTTGATCCTCCATTGTGGCCCCGCCCTACCCCCGGGGGTCATGATTTGAACAAACTTGAATCTACACTTCCTGAGGATGCTTACATATAAATATGACTCTTCATGGCTTTACCGTTCTTGAGAAGAAGATTTTTCCTATATATTTCTATGTAAAACTTTGATCCTCCATTGTGGCCCCACCCTACCCCCGGGGGTCATGATTTGAACAAACTTGAAACTACACTTCCTGAGGATGCTTCCATATAAATATGACTCTTCATGGCCTTACTGTTCTTGAGAAGAAGATTTTTAAAGATTTTTCCTATATATTCCTATGTAAAACTTTGATCCTCCATTGTGGCCCCGCCCTACCCCCGGGGGTCATGATTTGAACAAACTTGAATCTACACTACCTGGGGATGCTTCCATATAAATATGACCAATCATGGCTTTGCTGTTCTTGAGAAGAAGATTTTTAAAGATTTTTCCTATATATTTCTATGTAAAACTTTGATCCTCCATTGTGGCCCCGCCCTACCCCCGGGGGTCATGATTTGAACAAAATTGAATCTACACTTCCTGAGGATGCTTACATATAAATATGACTTTTCATGGCTTTACTGTTCTTGAGAAGAAGATTTTTAAAGATTTTTCCTATATATTTCTATGTAAAACTTTGATCCTCCATTGTGGTCCCGCCCTACCCCCGGGGGTCATGATTTGAACAAATTTAAATCTACACTTCCTGAAGATGCTTCCATATAAATATGACTCTTCATGGCCTTACTGTTCTTGAGAAGAAGATTTTTAAAGATTTTTTCTATATATTTCTATGTAAAACTTTGATCCTCCATTGTGGCCCCGCCCTACCCCCGGGGGTCATGATTTGAACAAACTTGAATCTACACTTCCTGAGGATACTTACATATAAATATGACTCTTCATGGCTTTACCGTTCTTGAGAAGAAGATTTTTCCTATATATTTCTATGTAAAACTTTGATCCTCCATTGTGGCCCCGCCCTACCCCCGGGGGTCATGATTTGAACAAACTTGAATCTACACTACCTGAGGATGCTTCCATATAAATATGACTCTTCATGGCCTTACTGTTCTTGAAAAGAAGATTTTTAAAGATTTTTCCTATATATTCCTATGTAAAACTTTGATCCTCCATTGTGGCCCCGCCCTACCCCCGGGGGTCATGATTTGAACAAACTTGAATCTACACTTCCTGAGGATGCTTACATATAAATATGACTCTTCATGGCTTTACCGTTCTTGAGAAGAAGATTTTTCCTATATATTTCTATGTAAAACTTTGATCCTCCATTGTGGCCCCGCCCTACCCCCGGGGGTCATGATTTGAACAAACTTGAATCTACACTACCTGGGAATGCTTCCATATAAATATGACTCTTCATGGCCTTACTGTTCTTGAAAAGAAGATTTTTAAAGATTTTTCCTATATATTCCTATG